TTTGAGATTTCTGGGAAAAGCTCGGCAACTGTGCATTCCAATATACGCACTGTGCTTGAAGTAATCCGTGTGTGTGGAGTATTTCATGATCTTAATATGGAAGCCTAAGTTAGGGGGAGTTTGGTATACTGAAGAAACACTTGCAAAAAATTTTTTTTATATAAATGGAGAGAAAACTCTTTATTTCTAAAATACTCATTCAAGTATTTCCTTAAACATGCAATACTAAGAACACGAGGTGAAGCAACCAATCCGGTTTCAATCCAAACTTTTTTATTTTCCCCCCAACCTACTTTAGCTTGGGAAATCTGGCTTGCCGTGTGGGTTGGATAAGTTGACCACTTTGTTTTTAATACGGAATTGTGAATGAAAGAATCAGGTAAGTATTTAAAATATTTTATTTTGATAACGTTTTACTTTTAGCCTTATACGTATTATCAATTATAATTGGGCATAATATGCTGTAACCTTTTCAATGTTTAAGGCTTGCCGGTACCATATTATCAATTGTAATCGGACATGAATATTTTTATTTGAAAGTTTTAATATGTAATTTCTTTCAGTGATGAATTTACTTTGTTAAAAAGTGTTAGCAACAAAATTATCTTTATTTTAAATTCTGTATCTATTAAAATAAAAAATTAATCACAGTATGCAAAAAAATAAAACTAAATAGGTGGACCATCTAAAACTAATTTAAATAAAGAGGAGCATTATGTTGACATTTTTACGTACCTAACATCTTCTTACCTGGGGGGCACGTTTCACGCTCATCAATGTAATGAGCACGAAACCTCCTTCCCAGGTCAGAAGAAGATGCAGAAGTGTCAATATGGGCAGTCCAGATCAGCCCTGCTCAACGTCAAAATTCGATGCCATTCATTTCCCAAAATCCTATAAAAGGCATCTGAAGGTTGAGGTGGAGGAGGAGAGAGGCCACGATGGGGAACAATGTCCATTCTTTACACATATCCAGGGTCCTTGCAACTATGGCCATCGGGTTTTTGGCCGGATATGTCTTTGCTTTCATGTTTCCCAGTGGCTTCTTCCCTTCTAATACAATCCCCTTTGGCAATGACAATCTCCTGGAATCCAACATTCAGGTTCTCCTATATTTCATCTTTCTGCCTCTTTCCGTCTTTATTTCTGCATAGAGACTTCAGTGAATTGGCATTATTTCCAATGCAGAGAAAACTCTTGCATGCTCGGGAAGTGTCACGTCATTCATACTTTCTCCAATAAAAATCTTCTAGTTCGTCTTTTTACGTTTCTCACAGCCCACAAATTTCTATTCATGACCCATTATCATCGATAGAAATATGGGGGAATCGTAAAAAAGACAACTGCAGCGTTTTTATTGGAGAGAGCATCGATGACGTGGCAAGAATTTCTCCTTACTTTTTATGCTAGCATTCGATTGGTACATGATCCCAAGTTTTCTGCTTAGAGAAATATCACTCTGGTTTCCATATCTTTTTGTCTAACTGGTAGTTCCTTTGATGAATCTAATGAATGGATGGATCTGACCTCTTAACACACGATGAAATAGTTGAGAGGTTAAATAAGTTGCTTTCATATGCAATGTCTGTGTATAGGTGAATTCACATAGGTCTGCTGGGGCTAAAATAGCACTTTGTATGCTTTCTATTTCCAAGGCTCCAAGGAGGGGCCAAAGCAGAATGCTCATCCCCCAAAACGCACGGCAGCGTTTGGGAATCATACACCTATCTTTCTTTTTTGAAAAGAAAATTTTATTTATTTTATTTTATATTTGTTTGTTGTATTCATAATTCTAAAATATTTTTTTGATAACATTCAGTTTTATTAATTAATTAATTTTTAGCTCATCCAGATTTTTCCCAGTTAGTGAGTACTGCTTAAAAAATATTTTAGTATGCTGTCATATTAAAAATTAATTAATTTAGGATATTGTGTTATGGTAAAAATACTTCAGGATGTTAGATACACTAAAAATAAATTAAATTTAGGACATTGGTGCTATTGAAAAAAATACTTGGGATATTGAATGCAATAAAAATAAATGTATTTATGATATTTAGTGTTACTAAAAAAATATTATTGAACTTGTTAAAATTAATAAATTTAAATACTGTGCTATTGGAAAAATATTTTAAAGTGTTCGATATACTAATAATTAATTGATTTAAGATGATAGTGTTGCTAAAAAAATTCTAAGTACTAGATAGGAGTATTCAAAATAGTCTATCCTGACTCCAATCATATTGGGATGGGATGGCCCGTGACAAACGGGATGGGATGGGACAAGGTCGTCCCATCCCAATCGCGTCTTAGTAGTAATGTTTTTTCATTTTTTTATCTTCTTATATTTATTAAATGCTAAAAACGCAAAATGTTTAAAACATGTGTAATACAAAATGTTTATTTTTTTAGCTTTTAGTGTATATGTAATTAAATGTTTATAATTTATTTAGAGTTTCTATAATTGGTTATGATTTTTGGAATGATGAAAATTAATTTTAGAGTTATTATATTACTTATTATTATTTATTTGGTCTTTTATTTAAGATGGCTAAACTCAAAAAATAATTGGAAAAAAAAAAGAAGAAAAAGATGCTTTTAAAAGGGCTAAGCCCAAAAAACTAGAACTTGAAAGGGAAAAAAAATTCATTACGATAACCTAACCATAAGGCAAAATGTTTTTTTTTTAAAAAAGCATGTCTTGTCCTAATCGAGACCGAGATAATACCATGACGAGATGGAACGAGATACAAGACAGATTTTTTATCATGTCTATGTTCATAGGAAGGGGACCGAGACACACTTGTCCTAGTTTCGTTCCGTCCCGTCCTATAAACAGTGCTAGTAATATATGTAAATTAATCCAAATAAATAAAAGATAAAAAAAAACTTATTAAAAAGGTCCCTTCATGCCTTGCTTTATATGCTTCTTTTTCACAACGCCTTCTTATGGCAGGCAAATTCAACTGAATGCGAATCATCAAATCAAGTCAACATGTTGAAATCAGAGTTTGCGGCAATATCAGAGGAAAACACTCAGCTCAAAAAACAGGTCAGGGAGTTGACTGAAAGGCTTCAGCTAGCAAAGCAAGAGAGTGATCAGGCTCAAAATCAGTCTCTTGCATTGGCTAAACGGCCTAAAGCTGGACCTTTTGGTACTGTTAAGGGATTAAGAACTAACCCTACTGTTGTTCCTGATGAATCTGTGAACCCAAGATTAGCAAAGATATTAGAGAAAGTAGCAATTCAAAGAGAGCTTATAGTTGCCCTTGCAAATGCCAACGTGAAGGAGATGCTGGAAATTTGGTTCACCGGCATAAAGAGAGTTGGTATAACCAATTATCTGGTGGTTGCTTTAGATGAAGAAATCTCAAAATTTTGCGAGTCAAAACAGGTTCCAGTGTACAAGAGAGATCCAGATGAAGGTATTGATTCCATTGGAAGAAATGGAGACAATCATGCGGTTTCTGGGCTTAAATTTCGTGTGCTTAGAGAATTTCTGCAGCTCGGATATGGTGTTCTTCTATCAGATGTTGACATTATCTATCTGCAAAATCCTTTTGATCATCTGATCCGGGATTCAGATATAGAGTCCATGAGTGATGGTCATAATAATATGACTGCTTATATGTATAATGACATCTTTGATGACGCTACAATGGGTTGGTCTCGTTATGTTCATACTGTGAGGATATGGGTTTTCAACTCTGGTTTCTTCTATATCAGACCCACAATCCCTTCAATCGAACTTCTCGATCGTGTGGCCACCCGACTTTCCATGCAGAGGGCTTGGGACCAGGCTGTTTTCAATAGAAGAACTCTTTTATCCCTCACATCCTGGCTACATCGGGCTTCATGCTTCCAAAAGAACAATGGATATCTACCTCTTCATGAACAGCAACATTCTATTCAAGACTGTGAGGAAGGATGCTAATCTCAGAAAATTTAGACCGGTAATTATTCACGTAAACTACCACCCAGATAAGCTTCCGCGAATGAAGGCCATTGTTGAGTACTACGTGAATGGGAAGCAAGATGCTCTCCAACCTTTCCCTGATGGCACGGCTGGGTGAAGTCTGTTGCCCCCTTCAAATATGTTTGTGCTTTTTCCTGCTTTCTTTCTTTTCTTCGTTTTATTTCAACCCTTCTTCAAATTGGGATTAGTTGCAATTTATTGGTATGACATACAAACCCCATCAATTGACTTTTTAGTTTTTATGGTCAAGATTTTCTTTTAAGCCTTCTCTTGATTTCTCTTCCTTCTATCTCGTCAACTTCAAATTAATTTTGAAAGGGCAAATTCGTATGAGCTATATTGAGCCGTTGATATACAAAAAGCTCTATGTTTTGCAAAACAACTGAAAGAAAGTGTCATCATTGGCGATTTGTCAAAGGAACCAGGTCTTTCAGTTGTGAAGGTTATGCACCTAAATCTTGTATGTCACTGCAGGGTCCCTCATGCCTTATTTGAGCACAAGAAAAAAAAATCCACATCTCATAAAGCAAACCCAATAAAGAATTTCAAGGGGATTGTGTTTTTTTTTTTTGGAGCAAAATCAAGGGGATTGTGTTTAAACAGATGAAAATAAAAGCAGATGAACAACTACAAAATTAAATAAATACGTTTTGTGGAAATTAGATTTAGAGAAGCGAGAATGTCAAAATGGTTTCTATTTTTTACTTTCTACTTTGGAGATTTTACAATCTAAGCCGCAAACCATCACATCTAGTCTATGAGAATGAATAATTAATAAAATAATATACTTACAACATTCTTCTGTCGTTAAATAAAAAGATTAATATAATTTTTGATTCATCAAGTCTGTATCAATTTTGGTTTTAGTTCATCAAGTTTCAAATCATAGATTTTGATCCCCTTAATGAACAAAATGGTCTAGGTTTTTATTAAATTATAGGAACTAATATTTTAAATGGAAAAAAAAAACTTGAGGGACAAAAAATTAAGTTTGAAACTTGAGAAATCAAAACTAAAATAAGAATAAACTTAAAGAACAAAAAATTATATTAATAAAAGGCAAAAAATATATGGCCCTATCCAGTAACTAGAGTTAACACTGGCCGGTAACTTCAATTGATGGATTTTGATCGGCTGCTTCCTTCACTATCTTTGGGCTTACTTCAGAAGTGATTCTACCTGGCTTGGTGGCCACAAGATCGGCAATCATTTCTGGTCCATACTCCTCAATGAGACCTCTCTGTCCAACCACCAATCACCCCAAAAACGAAATTTTGAAAATGGAATTAGCAGCAGTAATCTTAGAAAGGGGTTTTTTGGGGGGGGGGGGGAGCTTACTCTGGTCGTTTTTGGAAAAGATGCTGTTCGAGTTAAAATTCTAAGCTTGCTCTTGTTTACTCCTTTAGATTGAGTTGTTTTCTTTCTTTTGGGTTACAAGAACGAGTTATTTAATTATTAAAAAGACAACAGTTAAGTTTAGAGAATGTAACAGTAAATCTAGAAGCTTTTTGGTCTTAAATACATTGAAACTATCACGTTAGTAATAAAAAATTCGGAAGCATTTATCGTCCGTCATGTTGATCGAAACATGTGTATGGAACACTGATACGAAAGCACCATAAGCAATAAGACGACAACATTTTCAACAGTATTTGACATCATCCAAAAGTGAAGAGGATTTTACACCCCCAGTACCTTTACCTTTATCCGGGTCTGCAAAATATCAGTGTGTCTTTTCTATAGTAACTTCAAGTTGTTATACCAAATACGAGGATTTTAATATTGCAATACTTTTATACAGGGCAATATACCCCCCACCGAAAAAAAAAAAACAAAAACAAAGAGATGAAACAGCCAAATGACTTCTCAAGTGAGAATCTCAATTTATCTAGAGATAATCGTAATTTCAAATTGCATTCAAGATTAGATTTGTTTTACAAGAAGAAAGTGATGCAGAGAGAAGTGAACCTTGGTTATTTGACATGACTATAAACTACTTTAATAATTTGAAAATGGTAAATGACAGCTAGAGTTTAAATGACAAACCTCAATGGAGTCGTTTGAACCAGAGAGCTCCATACAATCCTCGGAAAGTCTCATTAGCTTTCGCTTCAGTGCGGAATTTTCGCGGATAAGATTGTCCACAGTATTTTGTAGTTCTTCAAGTTCTTGCTGCAAGTTTTTGAGAAAAAACAAATAAGTAAAGCATCAAACGATGGACCAACATTAAAAAAATACAATGCTTTTTGTAAAAACTGCTACTTATATAACAACAACAATAATTCTACAGTGGCCACAATAGATGTCCTTAGCTGTTTTAATACATTATTAGCTCCCTCTTGCTTGAAAAAGAAAAACGGTGCCGGCAGTTCTAAACACATGCATGGAGTTCAATTACATAAATGTTTTAATACATTATTAGCTCCCTCTTGCTTGGGGGGGGGGGGGGGGGAAGGCTTCTGCAGCCTTGTTGAGTGCTCATAATTTTTCATTACTATGGCTAGAAGTTCGATCATCAATAAAGGAAACTAAAATAACATGCCTTTTGATCACTTGTGAATGCTATAAAAATTGGCAGAACCAGTTTATGTGTGGAAGACAAGCAGGACTACCATAATACAAATATTGTAAATGTTGGGCTATGGGGAGAAAATAAAACCACTTCGAGCAATATTTCACATACATCAAATATATGCATACCTGCTTGCGTATTCTTGATCTTCGCGCTGATTCCCTGTTTAACTGTCTTTTTCTTTCTCTTCTTATTTCGTCCTCTTCCTACAGAAAGAGATGCAGCCTAGTAGGAAACAGCAACAGTGCAAAGAGGAACTGACCGGAGGAACCTTGGGTACCGTTTGGTACGAAGCATTGAAAATAAGGGATAAGGATTGGAATTGAGATTGAAAAAATAGTGTTTAGCATGAGACATTACTTATTATATGGGATTAGACAAACCCATGTATGTGGGTTGAGAAATACTACGGGAGAAAGGTGTATTTCCCAATCTTACTTCCATGGGTTTGCCTAATCCCATATAACAAATAATTACTCATTCTAAAGACTTTTTTAATGGTTTTTTTCAATTGCAATCCCAGCCCTATCCCTCATTTTCAATGCTTCGTACCAAACGGGATCTCAAGAATTTAATCATGAGTAATTATCAGTGCAGTCTCAATAGCCAGAACACTAATTTTACAATGATAATAACATACCAATGCTCATAAATAACGAGGAATGAAGCACACCGAGAGAGATCCATATCAAAATAACACATGAAAAATTAGAGAAGGTGAACCAAAATAACTACTTTGAAGATCATTTGCACCGTAAGCAGAAAAACATAACAGGGCAGTTAACGCTGCAGAATGCAGATGCATCCCCATCAAGGATATTATTCAAATAGTTGAATTAATTACACTATAAACTATAGATGCCCTGACTAAATATTTACTTCAGATTTTCCTTCACAGAAGTGAAGATAATTTTTTTTCCTAGAGGAAAAAAATAATGAATTAATCTCAATTCTCAATCCTTACTCTGTGCAGCATCATACGCATCTGATACAGGAGTTCAGATTCAGTATTCTTAACTATGTTCTCTCTCTATGTTTAACACTAAACATGCAGCTAATCCTTGTATACAAGCCTTGTGATTGGAAGTGAGATGACAATCCGTAAACAAATCATCTCAGTTTGTACTCAAATAGTGAGTACTGGTGCAGTAGGCAGTTGAAAGTGACAGTTGGCCAGGCTTCTCATTTGATTTTCTCTGCGTTTGAGTAAATCCACCAAATACGGTCTACCCTGGAAAGGGTAGTTATAAAAGCCACTAAGGAGTGATATGGACAAAAAGAAAAGTTTATAGTACCAGCTTAGAAAGTTGGGGCTTAGCCTCAGTTACATTGCTTCGCAAGTTGGCCTTCAGTTCAGCAGAATTAACGGCAACAGCCTCCAATGCAGAATCTCTATTCACATGATCAGGATTCCAGTTTTCAGTATCAGTAGCCTCCTTCTCAGCAGCATCACCTACTCAAGAAATGAACCATCAGACTATGGATATTCTATCTCTCTGACAAATAGAAATATATGAACTCCAAACATACCATTAGCAAGCATCGAATTGCTTCGCTGCTTCTTAATAAAATATTCCTGCAGTAGAAGGGACTGAATTGGACCATCTCATGAGAAGATACTAACAATGTCAAACTATACAAGCAAAGAATTAGTCAATTTCAACAAGAATAGAAACTCAGTGGAGATCTTCACACATTGCTGTTAGTGTCATCAATGCCATGGCCTTCATCTGACGACACACACGACGGTCTATCTCTTGCACTGTCGGGCATTGAAGACCCATTACCACTTTCCCTTGATTTCCTAGGAATGATACTTCCAAGCTGTAAGCTCTCATCGCATAATGTCCTTGAATCAATTTCCTTCTCATTGGAAATACATTGTTCTCTTTCTGAAACTGTCAAGACCGCACCCTGATGAAAATGCAAAGGCATTTGATATGCATGAATAAATGAATACATGATAATGGACAAATACACTCGCTCTCTTTTTTTTTTTTTTGGGGGGGGGGGGTAACAATCAGAAAGAATGTAGACTGAGTCCATTATAATTCCTAATACTACCCCACCCCATAGGAGAAAAGGAAGTGCCAATAAATGCTTAGAAAACAATTGGAGTACAGTGAACGTTTTCATGATTACATTAGATGCAACAAGACGACTGGAGAGACTCCTGTTATTATGCTGAGTTTCATATTGAAGTGCTATGCCGTATTTCTGTAAGAAAAGACAACAAAACCAAACAAAAATAAAGGACGTGAGTTTCCAATCTACTAGGAAGAGCAAGCAACATGCTCTAAGAAGTGCGAATATACATATATACTACCTGATTTGTCCAAATGCTAGGATGAAGGGAGAATTCGGCTGTATATGAATTCACAAAAGGTGTTGCAGTAGACTCGGAATTGTGGTATTCCTATTTAAAAGTGATTAAGACTTCAGAGCTTTAGCTCTTTCGGTATACATAAGAAATAAAGTATCAATAATCAATAATACTAATATATCTTGATTCAACTAGTATACTGGTTAGACCTGTATGGGAGTAGACCAATGTGGTGGAAAAGATTTATCCAAAGCTTCCTGTCAGCAAACAAGATGGCAACGACAAAATATAGTAAATATGAGCAGACTGCAAATAGGAGAATTTAGTTGGCATGGTTCTTAGCGTGTTTACAGACATCTTGAGTTATCAAAGTTTGGCAGGGGGTAGCACATCTGTTGGATTCTTCAGTCTCCATCAAACTCAAGTAGCATATGAACTTAGCAGCCGCCTAAATTGTCAACCGCTTGTTGAATCTAATAGTAATGTCTATAGAACGAGATAAAGAACTGGGTCAGCTCATATGGACCAATAATTTAATTGTGCTAGGAAGAAATACGGATGCTTCTAAGTCCAAAAACCAAAGCTACTTCACTTTCCATGCATTGTCCCTCAGGCAAAATAATAATAATTTTTTTTTTTTTTAGGTTCATCAATTAACGGGCCTAATTCACCCTTGTTAGGATTATTTCTCACTACATTATTATGACTGATAGATTTCACAGGTCAAAAAAATCAGATTAATAATTGGCACGGAGCATGAATTTTAGTTTTCTTGAAGTGTGGCAAAATGTTCCGTCCTTAAATGCAGCTAGAAATAGTAAAAGAAAAGCGCTAGGTAGTATTGGCATTAACGCAAGAGACACAACAAACTGTAAGGTGTTAAGTACTGTTTATGTGTTGTGTCGTGATTCATACAAGTGTCAAACACTCTTACAAGTAAATGTGCTTTTGTTTGCCCTTGCTTCATAAAATGAAACTATCTTCGTTTTACATGTTACTTAATGCGAACCATATTCTCTCTCCAGCTCCAATTCCTCTATGGTCTATTCATAATGGATTATAAAATTCAAGGTGAACGTTAGTGACCCAAGCTAAGCTCATGAAAATACCAGCAACAATGGGCAACCTAAAATCCTCTTTTCAGTGGCTGCAGCAAAGCCCTAAACTGCATTTAGCCTATCATCCGTTTGCGAAATAAATTTCCGGTTTCGAAATTAGTTAAAGGGAAATTTCTCTCCCATCAAAATAAATGGAAATAAAAAGGTACAGTAATAATAATAAAAACAACTATCATCACAAGGTAGCCCCATTAAACAATCCAAATGGTTAGAACAAATCAGAGACCAAAATTGTTGAATTGCTGGCTATGACTACATATTGCAACCAAATGGAATTTTGTACGGGTACTGCCACGACTACATATTGCAACCAAGGATTGCAGCTGGGGGGGAATAAAGTGTAACGCATACAAAGTGAGTGAAATCCAGAAAAAGATTTGAGCAATTAACGAGCAGAAAACGCCCGAAAATCCAGCTACATATGTTCATATAAGGAACCCGAATAAAGTAAACAAACATGTCTGGATTGCCGAAGCAGAAAAATGTGCGGGAAGAAAGATGAATGGAAATAAGATAGAAGTTCAAAAGAGAAGACCAAACAAACAAACAAAAAAGCTGAAATAGGTGTTAACTGAAAGAGTGGAAAATCTAGGGAAAAGGATGAAAGGAGAGAGCGAGAGGTTGAAGAGAGAGGGAAACCTGAGCCTGTGTGGCGCGAAAGAGAAGCCCGCTGCTGCGACGGTTTTCCTATTCGAGCTTGTTTGTATTGGTGTAGCGGTCCGTATATCTTTTTATCTTTCTATTGATAAATACAAATTTTTTAATCAAGAAATTATATGTGAGATGTAAAACTAAGAGAGAGAAAAACAAGAGAGAATTACAATCAAGTCCTATAAAAGATAAATAATTACTAAAAAGTTTTAATAACAACCTTAACAGCTTATAATGACAAGTTTTATAGTGAGAATGACAACCTCTGGGACTTGTTTTTTAATTGTTTTTCTTGTTTGGGATCTTATTGTAATTCTTTCAAAAAATAATTACAAATCATCATTATATTAGTAGTACTATTCTACTACCTCCGATCTTTAATATAAGATCCCGTTTGACTTTTAGTTTGGTCCTAATTATAAGACCCCAATCCATTTTATCTATCATATTTGTACATTTTTTTTCAAGATAATCCTTCTAATAATGATAGTTATAACCAATATATTTAATTAGTAAGGATATTTTAGAAATAACAACACTTATTTATTACAAATAACTAACTTAACTTACTTCCTTAATCTTCTCAAATTAGTCAACTGGGTCTTATAATTAGGACCGGAGGTAGTATTTAAAAAGCGAGTATGGCCGTCCCCACACATATTTGACTTTGATAGCTTTTGAATGCAATTTTAGGCTAGGATCTTAGGTTGGATTAGGAAGGCGATTTCCTTTATAAATGTGTATATTATAGTAGTAGTACATTATCTTGTTGGGAAAAAGACAGAAAAATGCACCTCCAACTCCAAAAGCTCAGAAACGTCCGCCCAATTCCACAAATCCCATTTTGGTACCATGAGACCAAATTGGGATTATTATGTGAAAGAAAAAGACCACATTGCCCTTCATTTTAAATATTATTTTTAAAATATCACAGCCCCAACTGGCCGGCCGGTCACCGGAGCTCCGGCAGCGGCGGTCACCGGAGCTCCGGCGACCAGCCGACAATTGGTCACCGGAGCTCCGGCGGTCGGAAATTTTTTTTTGAAAATTTTTACAACTTCAATATAACGGTTAACAACTTTTGTAATGCTATTAACAACTTTAGTATAGCAATTAACAACAGCTTTTCTGGGAAATTCAACAAACTCCGGCGACTGGAAACAATTATTTTGAAAATTTTTACAACTCCAATATAACCGTTAACAACTTTTGTAATGCCATTCACAACTTCAATATAGCAATTAACAACAGCTTTTCTGGGAAATTCAACAAACTCCGGTGACCGGAAACAATTTTTTGAAAATTTTTACAACTTCAGTATAGCGGTTAACAACTTTTGTAACCCTATTAACAACTTCAGTATAGCGGTTAACAACAGGTTTTTTCAACCGCTATACTGAAGTTGTTAACCGCTATACTGAAGTTGTTAATAGGGTTACAAAAGTTGTTAACCGTTATACTGAAGTTGTAAAAATTTTCAAAAAAATTGTTTCCGGTCACCGGAGTTTGTTGAATTTCCCATAAAAGCTGTTGTTAATTGCTATATTGAAGTTGTGAATGGCATTATAAAAGTTGTTAACGGTTATATTGGAGTTGTAAAAATTTTCAACTTCAGTATAACGTTCACAATTACGTTTTTTTTGAAAATTTTTACAACTCCAATATAACGGTTAACAACTTTGATATAGCAGTTAACAACAAGTTTTTAAATTCAAAACGTGACATTTTTATAACTTCAGTAATGCCTTTAACAAACTCAAAAACCTGTTGTTAACCGCTATACTGAAGTTGTTAATAGGCTTACAAAAGTTGTTAACCGCTATATTGAAGTTGTAAAAATTTTCAAAAAAATTGTTTCCGGTCGCTGGAGTTTGTTGAATTTCCCAGAAAAGCTGTTGTTAATTGCTATATTGAAGTTGTGAATGGCATTATAAAAGTTTTTAACCGTTATATTGGAGTTGTAAAAATTTTCAACTTCAGTATAACGTTAACAATTATGTTTTTTTGAAAATTTTTACAACTCCAATATAACGGTTAACAACTTTGATATAGCAGTTAACAACAAGTTTTTAAATTCAAAAAGTGACATTTTTATAACTTCAGTAATGCCTTTAACAAACTCAAAAACCTGTTGTTAACCGCTATACTGAAGTTGTTAATAGGCTTACAAAAGTTGTTAACCGCTATATTGAAGTTGTAAAAATTTTTAAAAAAATTATTTCCGGTCGTTGGAGTTTGTTGAATTTCCTAGAAAACTTGTTGTTAATTGCTATATTGAAGTTGTTAATAGCATTATAAAAATTGTTAACCGTTATATTGGAGTTGTAAAAATTTTCAACTTCAGTATAACGTTAACAATTACGTTTTTTTGAAAATTTTTACAACTCCAATATAACGGTTAACAATTTTGATATAGCAGTTAACAACAAGTTTTTCGAAAAATTCAAAAAGTGGCTTTTTTATAACTTCAGTAATGCCTTTAACAAACTCAAAAACCTGTTGTTAACCACTATACTGAAGTTGTTAATAGGCTTACAAAAGTTGTTAACCGTTATATTGAAGTTGTAAAAATTTTCAAAAAAATTGTTTCCGGTCGCTTGAGTTTGTTGTTGTTAACCGCTATACTGAAGTTGTTAATAGGGTTACAAAAGTTGTTAACCGCTGTACTGAAGTTGTAAAAATTTTCAAAAAAATTGTTTCCGGTCGCCGGAGTTTGTTGAATTTCTCAGAAAAGCTGTTGTTAATTGCTATATTGAAGTTGTGAATGACATTACAAAAGTTGTTAACGGTTATATTAAAGTTGTAAAAATTTTCAAAATAATTGTTTTCGGTCGTCGGAGTTTGTTGAATTTTCCAGAAAAGCTGTTGTTAATTGCTATACTGAAGTTGTTAATAGCATTACAAAAGTTGTTAACCGTTATATTGAAGTTGTAAAAATTTTCAAAAAAAAAAATTCCGACCGCTGGAGCTCCGGTGACCGCCGCTGCCGGAGGTCCGGTGACCGGCCAGCCAGTAGGGGCTGTGATATTTTAAAAATAATATTTAAAATGAAGGGCAATGTGGTCTTTTCCTTTCACATAATAATCTCAATTTGGTCTCATGGTACCAAAATGGGATTTGTGGAATTGGGCGGACGTTTCTGGGCTTTTAGAGTTGGAGGTGCATTTTTCTGTCTTTTTCCCTATCTTGTTTGTTAAATAATAAATTTAAAAAGATAAGATATCTTCCCAAGCATGAGGATAACTTTTTAAATTAGTGATTGGCCAGAAAAACTTTTTAAAATTAGTGGTAAATTTTTATTATTTGTGAGTTAAATAAATGAGAACGGTTTAATAAGATGATGCATGAAAAAAAAAACAAAAATATTACAAGCTCACAATACAAGAGCGCACTCGCAATATTATCCAATCCTCAGTTCCCAGAATAAATAATATTTTATATTTTTACCATCAAATTATTATTTTGTCTTTGAAAATAAATAGTTTCAGCGTTTGTCAAATTTTATCTTCGGACTTGGCAGATTTAAATTTTAAAGTATAAAATAGTAATAAAACTGTATAAAAATATTAAAAGCCGTAATTTGTCGCCAGCATTTGAGCTTGCTGGTTTTTTCGAGTGACTGAATTGAATGTTCCTGCAACGTTAGAGGATGAAATCCCGAAATCGGATGATGCGAAGGATAATCCTGAAACGGATTCAGGGGTGCTGCAATGGAAACCGAAAATGGAAACAGAAGAAGGAACAGTCTGGTGCGGTGCGGTGCGGTACGGTAGACCCTCTCACTGAATTTTACTCCGCACCACGTGGCGTTTCACGAATCTCGCTGGGTCTCAAAATGCATTTTGGAAAAAGTTACGGGGCTTTTGATCATAAAAATTGGGAGAGTTGTTTATTCTTATTTATAAATCAAATTCTAATCACAAGTGGTTGGGACATGTGCGGGATTACTTTTTTATTTGAGGCTTTATATATACTCTTTTCTTGAAAAATACTTTTCTGATTCTAAATATAATATCCCTATATACATTATAAAAAGTGTCCTATATTTATATTTGGGAGGAATAATATTTTTAGAACATTGAATGAAAAATATGACATTAATTAAATTTGTTACTTGTTAATAAAATTGAGATGTGTGGGCCACAACACTCTGACACAAGTCACATGGTAATGAAATTGAGTTATGGTCTTGCATGAAAATGTTATGAATACAAATGTAAGGAGAATATTTAATTTAAGAAATTTAGCTTACTGGGAAGTTATTTTGACTTATAAATCATATCATATTGTCTCTGGCACCGCAAATCAATATGATAATAGGCCTATTTAGAATAATGTTCAAAATTACTTATAAGCATGTTTCATATAAGTCGGGATAAAACTTCTCTCGCATATTTACTTCGTATTTCGTAAATTATAATTGAAAAGTTATTT